ATATATATATATATATTAGAACTGGACAATTAGTGGAATTTGCTGAATAACTAATTGTCAGGCTCATTAATAACCTAATCTCATGAGACTGGACTTCCTATTTTCATTTTATTTTAGGACATTTTGAAACTACTCTTCATTTAATTTATGATCTTGGCTCAATCAAAGTGTGCGTGTCATGACTTTTTTTACAGAGTTACATTAGTTTTGTTCAAAATACAATAAAAATAACTTCATTATCAATATAAGTTAATAAACTTGGCATTAAATGTAGGTTATAATTCAAAGTTTTATATTATCTAAATTTTAAGTTATGAATTTCAGAAGAAAATACAGATGCTCGATATTCATTTCTCTGTGCATATGATACATCTCCCCTTTCAATTCTCCTTTTTTAGGTTCTCTATTCCATTTTGTGGGTTTCAGTGTCCAACAGTTTAGAAACGCAAACTACAGACACTGACAAGCTACAACATAAAATTGGAATGTCCCATCTTCCATTTTTTTTTTAAATATCAATAAATTTATCAACTTATACTGCCCTCTATATGCGCATATTTTCACTCGCCACTAGCCATTATACTCCCACCTACCCTCATATATACACGCGAGACGTCCGCATGCTATCATACAGAAACCCTCCACCAATAGGAGTGCAACACAACTCCTATCTTTACAAGTATCCTCTCTTCTGTGCAGCCTGTAATCACTTTGAGATTGGACAGTATATACAAAACCTACACTGGAAGAGGGGAGATTACGTGGGAAATATGAGAAGAGGTAAGTACCTATCAGAAATACATTTTCAGTGTAAGAAAATGTTAACTTCCAATATATTGAATCCTAAATTGAATTGGTGGAGGGTCTGGTGAGAAGATGACCCCCCCCCCTTCAGAAAGCACCCAAAGGAAGATCATGTGATGTGTGAACAAACGGAAGGAAACACTCTTTTGGGAGACCGCACCACTTCTGAGCCAACTACACTCTTCGTCCAGGAAAATGTGTTGTAATATGGGTGGAATCAGAGGAGGGACCCTCTGCATAATCATGTGCGCATGTCCAACACAACCATCACCATATCTTCCAAGAATCAGCATCCAGGAGACAGTAGGAAGGTGGAAAGTAAAGTGAGGGTACATCTCCAGTCCATCACCAGGCAACATTGGGAATGTATTGTCCAGTCTACAGTAGCAGGAGAGTACCTGCCCACACACGTGAAGACTTATGTGGCTGGTCCAGCTCCAACCATCACCATATTCGCAAAGACTAGGTTGGTATGAAAGTGCCTCAGCTGGATGGGCAAACTGGTGGAATGCATCATCTAACACTTGACTGCATCTGGAATTGTAAGGTTTGCAGTAGGATGAGCACCAATGTCCCTGACTGCATCTGGAATTGTATATCAGGTCTGCAGTAGGATGAGCATCAATGCCATCTACACCAGCAGAACACCACCCTACTCTCAATTGAGTGGGAGTGACCACACTCAGAGAGAAGTCTCCACGATCCACCACCCCAGGAGCTAGGAACTCACAAATGGCAAGGACTCTCATATTCCACTAGAAGAAAGGGGAAAAAGCACATTGAAGATTCCAGAGGAACACTGCACCAGACACAGTGCAATGGATGACTACAACACCTTATTTTGAAAAGCAGACAAGTGACCTACAATACACAGATCATCAGAGATGAGCAGCAATCCCCATCTGCTTTACTCGTGTCAGTCCATAAGTGTACAGTCTGGGGTAAATATCTTTATAAAGTAAAATACTGCGAGGAATACCTACAAGTGGTTTTGACCAGTGTGGTCCACCCAGGCAAAATGCAATATCAATTAAATAAGATACTTAGTCTAGAAATAGTTTAAACAGCTGAGCCCTCTTCTCAGTGAGTGGACAAACATGAGTATTGGAAAGTAAAAATTAAAACCCACTCAGGAGGAAGCCTCCATGGTCCACCACCCTAACAACAGGGAACTGGGAGTGATAAGGACTCCCGTTCTCCACTAGAAGAAAAAAAAAAAAGGTGAAAAATGTGGTGGGGAGTCAGGAGGAACGTCATACAAGAAGCTGTGCAATGGGTGCCTGTGATTCCCTAAACAACCAGGTGAAGAATTGGGAAGCTAAGAGACGAAGGACAGAAGCCATGGGGAACAGATCAAAGTCAGAAGGTAGACCAACCCCTCTGGTAAATGGTCAAGGATGAAGGTCTGATAGTTCAGGAAATGAAAGACATGACTCGAGAAGTCAGGCTCTGGTCTGAGGCGACAAACCTGACAAAAGCTAAGCGTGAAAGTGAAGAGTGGTGATGTCAGGATGAGCAATGTCTGATCGCAGTTGATGGAGAAGCGACCGAGACAAGAGGTAAGGGCAGGGGATGTTGCATAAGTAAAGGCCAAAGCAGAGAGAACCATGGCTGAGCAGGCCAATATGGGGCAACAAACAGGACTAGGCAAGGAGTGGTCTGGATGAGGGACAGAACCCTGGATAGGAGGATAAGCATAGATGTGAAGTCTCCTCCAATCCTGACTGAATGCATCTACTCCCACAGTTGATGGGTGTGAAAAGGGAGGCCAAAAGGGAGGAAGTTTGGTGTTCTAATGAGTGGCAAAGGCATCAATATGAGGTATTCCCAGTTAAGAACACACCCATCAAAAAGAGTTGTGGATGAAGAGACCAATCCATGGGGAGAACCTGGTTTGGATGAGATAAATGATTGACAACCAGAATCATGACAAGCCAAGACCACCATGTGGTGATCATGGGCACAGAAAAGAAGATACAGAATCCAAATACAAAGAGAGCTGGATTTGGTACCACCTTGCTTGGTGAAATAAGTGATGACAGTGGAATTGTTTGAGTGTATCATAACCACCCACCCCCTCAAATGTGGAAGTAAATGGGTCAAAGCCCGACAAACTGCTAAAAGCTTGTGGATGTTAGTATGAGTGCAGACGCCTTGACCAACCACAGACTGGAAATCTTTTGTGAGTTGAGGAAACCCACCAAAGATGCATCCATGAATAGATGTAACAACAGACAAGATGGAGAAATGGGAACTCCCACCGTGGTCTGGTCTCTGTCAAACCACCAAGAAAGGTCAGCCCTGATCACAGAAGCAAGGGTAACAGGATGGTCAAAGGGATCGAGGAAAAAGTTCCACTGATAAAGGAGTGTCCACTGAAGTGAACACATGTGAGCTCAACCAATGGGCATGCGAGCTCTCAAAGAAGCCCACAACCCCAAAAAAAGATAGAACCTCTCATGCCGTGAGAGAATGAGAGGTAAGGGCCTTCATGACTGCTCACTCTATATCCCTGAGCCGAAGAGGAGAAGGCTGGGCCTGACTGAAGTGTGAATTGAAAAAAAACAACAAATGAACCAGGTATTGTGAAGTGATAAGAAAAGACATCTCCAACTTGATCAGAAAAATCACTTGTGCTGAAGAAGTAAATGTGTGTAATCTTCTGACTGAGCATGGGAAGAAGCAAGCAAGTGCCAGTCATCCATGTAATGGCAAGTTCGAAGACCCAATGAGTGAATATGACAAGCAAATGAGTGAACCACTCCACCAAACATATAAGGAGCCAAAGAGAGACTGAACAGCAGTGCTCTGAACTAGAAAGCATAACCCTTGTGGATGAAGGAGACGATGTGAATCTGGAGCAATCAGAATGTGAAGATAGGTATCCATCACGTCAAATTTAGTCATCCAGAGTCCCAGAGAAACACCTACCAAAGTCAGAGGCAGGACTCCCTAGGAGGAGGAAAGGAAACTGGTAAAAGGGAATGGGGGTGGGAACCATAACCGAAGGCAGAAACCACCCAACAGAACCCATGGATCTGTCACGAACTGCTGTCACATGGCCAAAAAGTGGAGAAACCTGGCCTACACTGGACCAGGAACCTCAGCCATGACACCAATAATGCTAACTTCTGGATTGAATGAGTGTGGGAAAAATAAGGATAATGACAGAAACACCTGAAGAAAGGTAAGAATCAGAGTATGGAAGCAGGAGGGCAGGAAACCAGAACAGGAAAATTCTGGGAGGGAACAGGAGGAGGAGACAAATGCATGACCAGGGAGGATAAGGAAGAATGTAACCTAGTCACATTAATCCAGAATTCCAAGGAATCTGCATGACCTCCACAAATGATTTCACATGAAACCAGGGCCAGATGGAGATGATAGAAAATGAGAAGACACACCCTCATAAGTAATGCATTCCTCCCTAACAAATACCAACAACACAATAGCCAAATATAGAGAGAATATTGCTGATAAACAAGCTATAGTGGCAAATAGGAGGGTCCCGATTCATTCAAAAAGCTTCAGACATAAATTGGAGGGAAGAAAGATAACGTAAAAGGGAGGTCAGGGCAAGAGTAACCCAAGAAAACCAAGCTTGATTAAAGTTAACTGAAGTCTCAGGATTCAATCTCCAAAGGGAAAGAAGAGGATCCAAATGCTGAGAATTCAAAAAAAAGATCCAAGGCTCAATGGTGAGCTAAAGCATATTGGTCCAACAAATGAGGGGGACAAGGCATGCCTACACTCAAAAAATCTCAACAGCAACAAATCACAAGCAAAAATCATACTCACACTTGAAAAGTTTAAGCACACGTCTAAACAAAGTCACATCAATCAAGAAAGTGAGGATTGAGCAGGAAGAGCAGATGGAGCTAGCTGTGCCAGTATAGATGGCACAATACTATTGGTGGAGAGTAGTCATATGATATGTATGTTCAAAATGACACGAAACTGATGGGGTATAAAAACTGGAGTACTGGCAAGACCA